CAAAAATGATTGCTAACAGCCCTATCTTCTATGGCAAAAAATAGACAGTTAAACAGCTGCCTACCAGTGTTGCATGGACAAGGAATTAGAATCTTATAAGTGTTTGGGAGTTTGACTTGGCATGACAACAAAACAAAGGCTCACAGACATGACTTTAGAAAATTATGAACTTTTAAAATTGCTCATATTCTTAAGAATTCTGACATTTTGTACCTATGGGAGAAGGTCTAGGAGAGTTTATCTTAGTTAATAACATTATGGGAAAATAACATTTATTGAGTACATTAACTGTTCATTTATGTCAAATAAGTGAAGAGACAAAGTACATTTCATGACTGAATCAGAATCTGACGTGTGTTTGACATGGACAGTTCATTGAGTTGGGGAGTCCATGCAACACTGCTGCAAGCATGCAAAAATATCCTTCCTACACCCTAGCTAGATTATTAGCAACCACTCATATCCCTTGGGACCCATTACAGCTCATGTGAAGGTGCCCGCCCATTCAGGTAATGTGCTAAACTGCTAATATCCATGGCCCTTACTTTGCTTCATTCACATTTTGAACCTGTAAGCAGGGTTTCTACTTCAGCTTTTCTTGCATCTGCATCCCCAATTGGGGCACTGTAAGCCTAAAAGGTGTAGGTACATAGTGCTTGCTCAGACCCTCAGAGAACATCAAGCATCAAGATTAACACCGTAAAGTTGTGTACGAACAACCCACAGTCAATCCCCACGCTGCGATGAACCCGCAACACACTATCAACCCTGCGATGAACTCACAACGCGTAACGCAAAACCGCGATAAACCTGTGGTCCACCGGGCCTACTCAGCACCCAAACCAAAAGAAACCTTGATCGAACCTGTCCAAGGGCCTCAAGCCTACTTGAGCGTGCAATAAACCCACACCCACCAAGGTTTGTGATAAACCAACGGCTTATAAACCCACTTGTAACCCAGATGAAGAGAAACCTAGGCCGAACCCATGGCGAAGCCCACGTGCACCTGAAGGCATGTGAAACCTATGGCAGTAAAAGACATGACGAAGCGCCACGTGGAGTCCGCAAAGCGGCGCTTGCCAAGCGATGACGTCACTACTGCCATGTCAATTAAGTTAAACTGCGTAAAAGGTAGTAGCATATGCGAGTAATGAGGAATCTTGAGGAGAAGGAAAGGTAATCCTCGGGAAGATCCTCATGAGACACGTGCGAAACCCCAGTAGCGCACTTAATAATTGATAGCAGATCCAATATTCCCTTTCCCGATACGGTGTGATGTTATGGACACACCACCCAGCAGCGCACTGCGGCGCACACATAGGCAGCAGCACTAGGCAGCAGTACGCTCCGCACGACAGCAGCACGCACCGCACGACAGCAGCACGCTCCTCATGGCAGCAGCACTGCGAGACGCGCGCACCAGCTGGCTGCAGCAGTAGGGCGGGGCCCACATGACAGCTCATCAGGGTGGGCCAACACGCTTCTTACCACATCAGCTCTGCTCGCCAACTCGCCGCCAGCTACACCATTCCCTATCCCTTATCTTATCTTATCCTTATCTTATCTTAAGTAAGAGTTGTGTTACTATTAGGAGTAGGTAATTAGGAGTTTGAGTTCAAGTTGGAGTTTGAGTTTAATTAGGAATTTCCTTCTATAATCTCCTATTTAAGGAGCCACGAATTGAAATAAAGSATTTAGTTTTCCAGTCAAGAAAAGAGTGAGGAGAGTTCGGGTGGTCTCTTGGACAAATCACCCATTAGGAGAGTTCGGGTGATCTCTTGGACAAATCACCCACGCGATTGCCACAATAGGGTCTGTACGCAAGGGCAAGGGCAAGGGAAGATAGGAGTCTCTCCCGGTGGACCGACCCGTGACGAGATCCTACGTGCGGGCCCATAACATTTGGTATCAGAGCCAAACGTCATGGGCGATATGGAGCAACTGTCTTCCAATGTCCACGAATTGGAACACAAACTTGCAGAGACCAGCATGGAGGTATGTGAGGTCAAGGATGATGTCCGGGAGCTTCGACGCTTGCTGGAGACATTCTTAGCCAATAGGGAAAGAAACTCAGAAGGAACCGCCACCAACAAC